TGCCTATCGTGACTCGGCACAAAAATTTAAAATATTGGTTCCGTACGGATGGGCGGGAATGGAGGGTAAAAACCGTTGGGATATTATTATTATAAAAAAAAGACACTGAGTGCATCAGTCGGGTAGATTTTCTATGCCCTTGGCATGCCTATGCGCACCAATCGGTGCAAATTACTTAGTTTTGTGCTTGCAGTTCTTTGTGTCGCCTTAGTTCACCATGCTCAGGATGCAGAAGCAAGTCATGTTGGGGGAGAGGCCACAAGTTTTACCAAAAAATTCGTGATCGCAATGTAAGTACATATGCAGTTTTTTATTTTCTGTACTATGTAGTCGATGTAGCTTGTCGTATAGTGGAAGTTTTTACTGTAGATGTTATAGCTCGAAAAAGCTGCGGATCGTGGGCATAGCCATGGACATCACTGCCCTAAAGGTATGGTACTTTTTTCCGAATTTATGCATTTTAACTCACAACAAAACCTAATTATCCGAAATCAGCCAATTAAATGTATTCCGAACGTTTGAAGAAGCGCTGGAATAGGATTATTGCCACTAAATACGATAAATGTGTGTTAAAAACCTTCCACGATAATAAAGGTAGATAAGACAAATTTTGTCAATAAATTTCCACTGCTCAAAATTGCATACTTATTTGTAAAATTTTTTGCTATCCCACAACCTTGAATTTGCCCACTGTTCTTTAAGCTGCGTCTCGTGATTGGAAAATTTCCATAGCTATTTACTTGTTTGTGGCAGAAAATAAATGTGATGTAGTTAGTAGTATCCAAGCCAAAGCGCAATGATCAGTTTTCAGAAAAACAGCAACAGCAACAATAACTTCAAATAAACACAGCAATGCAAGGAAAGAAAAAAATTGCAAGGCAATTGCATTTGCTGATTATGATTGCGGTCGTTAAGAGGCCAAACTTGTTGCAAGGCAGAAAAAATACACAGACATCATTCACTATTAAAAACATATTTCAAAGAAAGAAATAAATACATAACTTATAAGTTTGAAAACATACAAGTATACTAAGTAAACATTAAATACAAGTAATTTTTAAGCAAAAAACCAAACCGACTTCAATTCTCATATAAAATAATATATACACATATATATCTATATATTTCATGATCCATCGGATGATCGGATCTAAGCGTGATTAGTATGGGACCACCTCTGAGAGAATACATTTCCGATGCAAAAAGAATTATTATTTATATTGACGTGGTCCAAAGTTATGCGGTAACATACATAAAAAAAAAATACTCCGACGAACTGATAACCTCCTCCTTTTTTGGAAGTAGGTTAAAAATATAGACATCCATACATCCGTACAATATATTGCGCAAAGCGTCTAAAATAGTCACAAGCCCAACTTGCGCACAACACCAAGTCGGTACAAGTGTAGCAATGAGATGCCTTTGGAGAGCCTGTCACCCACCGATGGATACGTGCTTTTTATGTTACAATGTATATGTACATATGTGTAAGTACTTATATTTTGTGAACATTATTACTAAACGAAGTGCACATACATTTGTATGGGCTACTGGTTTAATCTGGATTGAAATGAAGGAAGGCCGGTCCAAAGCCTTTTATGGCATTCATGCAATTGCAATTGCAAGATCAATTGCATGGTATCCTCAGATATGTGGCACATATTACTCATAACAAGTGCTCATACTATATTTATGTACTTAAGTACTATATTCACATTAAAGTGGGTCGATTTAAGTAGTAAAAAGCCATACCTTTACTCAGATCATTCAGACGTCGAGTGCTCGATTTGAGCTCGGAGCTCTAACTCGCTGTGAATCCCAGAAAAATTAAACTCGCGCTCTTCACTAGGAAGTGTGACATATGTACACTCAGAAAAAAGTGAGCTAAATATATTTCTCTCAACACATGATTTGGTAACTATAACCAAATAGTGTAACTATAACCAAATCATGTGTTGAGAAAAAAATATCTAGGAGAAGTAACTAAACTAATTTCTCAGTGTACCTCACGCGACTCTACCCTCAGTTGGAGGCATTCGCTTAACGCTTTCTGACAGAGGCACTTAGGCTTGATTCTAGATGGCAAGATGTTGTGTTGTGTGTGTTGAGGAGAGAGTTAAGGCATCAGTGTATCTTTACTGCTGCAAAGGACGCTTAGGTAAGATATTATTTCCTGTCTTTTGGGAGTATATGTAGGTAAGCCCATCGTAGGTAAGGGACGGACATGGCAAAATCGGCTCAGCTCGACATTCTCATCGTGTTGTAGCAGCTTACTTAACTTTGGCTGATTACTGAATCAACTATATGTTGTCCTTATTCTCATCTAACGGCAAGCTCAGGAAAAGGTCACATTCGGCTTCTTATTCAAATTGGACTGAGCAGTTTAACCTGTTACAATATCCAGGGGGGTCTACCTTTTGATTAGCTGCGGACTGCTTGTGCCATATACCAGCTCAGAAAAGGATAGGCAAAAACCAAAATATGTGTAATTGCATGATTTTTCTAACCGAAAGAAGCCCGCTGGTGGTCAAAGGATCTTACTGGGTTTTAAATGTTGCAACTTTGTTAGGTATATTGACAGAACACTGATTGGTAATCGCATTTTCTTAGAGGATGATGGGGTGAGGCTAGCTCAACACTTTACCTAAAGCTGCCCAACTAAACGTCTTGAATCACACTGCATAGCTGATCCTGAGGAGCTCTCCAGAACCGACATCTGCCGCCTTTTGGCATCTTTTTGGCACACAGCGCATTTCACGTCTCATTAGAAGTTGCCTTTCGTGATGATACCACAAAAGAATGATGATAGTAGTGATCAAAGTGTGCCCTTGCTTAGGGCAACCACCTTAACCTTGACTAGCCTTACCTAGGTATCAACTGACTTAAAAAAAAAAATCTTGTATTTTATGAGCTAAGAGAAGGCGGCTTATACCAAGGAAGGTTGAAGAATATACCACAGCCTTTACTATCTAAAAACCAATAGAGCAATCGAGGCGATTATCAGATCTCAATATCCTTACAGCCGAGACTCAGTAAGAGTCGTACTGAAGAATTGTTGACGCTACACAGATCTGCAGTAAAGGTTCTTACTGGCATCATCAAAGGGGCTGTGCAATAGCACAAATGCTCCAACAATCGGTTCACCGCTTCCTAAGTCAATACCCAGCTCTCCAGACAAGACGTCTCGAGCATTTGGGATCATGCATTTTCAATAGTTTGGGGAGTTAGCGGGACTGAAAATATCGGCGCTCCACAGCTTCATCCAGTATAGTAAATGGTTTAATAGAAGAAGAATGTGCCTCCTCCTGGCACACATAGAGGACATTCACAGTGGGAAAGTCTGCAACCGAGTGGAAATATGAATCTTTCGTACGCACTTACCTAACCTGACCTAACCTAACTCAGCCGTTTAAGGTCTTTTTGATCCTTATTTGAAAAAATTACTTAATAGTGTTTACATGATTAAATGTTCTACAAAATTAATAACCCGAGGACCCGACCTAATGTCGCCTATCGCGCATACATACATACATACATATGCACGTGTATACGTTGCATGTGAAAAAAAATCTTGCGAAGACATTGATATATTTTTAAAAAGCATTAATACAATATGTTTCACAGATGTGAAATGAAATGAGTAAAGCTCCAAATATATGTATGTATGTACATAGTATGTAGCTTCTGAAAATGTGTAATTATGGATAGGCA